AGATTGGAAATCAAGGTGTCGCGCCGGTGATGATGGTGATCATGACGGTGCATCGGAGATGGAGATCACAAGCACAAGATGATGATGGCCATATCATATCACTTATATTGATTGCATGTGATGTTTATCTTTTATGTATCTTATCTTGCTTTGATTGACGGTAGCATTATAAGATGATCTCTCACTAAATTTCAAGATAAAAGTGTTCTCCCTGAGTATGCACTGTTGCCAAAGTTCGTCGTGCCCAGACACCACGTGATGATCGGGTGTGATAAGCTCTACGTCCATCTACAACGGGTGCAAGCCAATTTTGCACACGCAGAATACTCAGGTTAAACTTGACGAAATCCGCTGCCGCCGTCCATGAGCACTTTAGTAAGCCGGAAGCCATCCACAATTGGACTAAGGACCAAGGTGGCTGGTGCTCGGGCTGTTCGGAATTTAGGTTTGTCACTGGCATTGAAGGTGATAGCCGTATCGCTCCATGGATTTATTGCTGCCACGTGGTAGACTTCAGCAAGGCTGCAGAGTGCTCGCTTACGCCTATTATTTGAGGCAAAGGTCTCGAAGACTGTCAATACTGTATTGTTGTTTTCCACGGGATGGTGCTCTGCGGTATTGTTGATGAGGAGATCCTCACCGCTCTTGGCCACCTGCCGGAGTACCCAATATGCTCTAAGGCTGTGTGTTGGCATGGTATCCGTTGTACTGTGAATTTTGCATGGCCCATTAAGCCATCCCTCCAATACGGTTCCACGCCCTGTAGTGGGCCTTTGTTTCTTTGTAATTGGATCGGGTGACTTACGAGAGTACACCCTTTTAGTTCGGACGGGGGGTTTTGTGAGAGCCGGAGGATCCCAAAATTTTGTTTGGGTTTTCTAGGCGCTTTCCATCGCACAGTACTTTCGTACTATGGTCGCCAGGTCAGCAAAGTGTGCTATGTCACGGCGACTTATGGCGTTGAGGATTCCCCTGTCCTTGCAATTTTTACAAAAGAATGAAATTGCATCTTCCTCACGACAGTCCTTAACCTTGCTCATTACAAGGAGGAATGTGGCCCAATAGTGGTGTACTGTCTCTTGGGGATCTTGTCTAATGTGGGAAAGATCACTTATATCTGGGTGGGTGGGTGGGTGGATTTAGGTCTGAACCCTGACCCGATCTGAGACCCAGGGGTGGAGGAGTTTTCGAGCTTGGCAGTTCGGGCTCCGTGATGTTGCCCAATAGATCTGGCCAGCTGCCTGATTCTAGGTTCAACGCTTGGGCCATGTCCTCCCGTAGACGGGTATCCGGCTCGGAGAGCTCGGGAATCCGGACATAGTTTTTCCTCAAGATAGAGGAAGAATCGCTGGTTGCTCCTCCACCACCATATCTGATGGGTGACCGGCGAAGAGTTAATCTCCCTTTGGTCAGGTTTAAGCCCGATCTGATTATAGTCCATAGCGACTCCAGAGGCGGCGATGCGATCCAAGAGCTCGTTCAAGGAAGAGAGCTCCATTGGATCCAACTGCTCGGCGAATTCCGAGCCGACGTGGAGGCTGTTTTCGATGACCCGAGAAGTCATCGTCGGTGCAACGGCCGAACGGGCGATCATGAGGAAACCGCCTAGTCGAAGAGTTTAGCCTATAGCCAGGGCTCCCCCAGAGGTGATGTTGTCCTTGACAACGAGGCGAGCCATCCAGCCTTATGATGGCGGCACAGTGGAACTCTCAATGAAAGCACCAATGTCGGTGTCAAAACCGGCGGATCTCGGGTAGCGGGTCCCGAACTGTGCGTCTAAGGCAGATGGTAATAGGAGGCGGGGGACACGATGTTTACCCAGGTTCGGGCCCTCTCGATGGAGGTAATACCCTAGTTCCTACTTGATTGATCTTGATGATATGAGTATTACAAGAGTTGCCCCGCCACCACGATGAACATGACGTAAATTTGTCATCGGACCACACCCATGAGATAGCACTAGCAGCCGCTCTGGCCTTAGATCTGGAGTAGGTTGCGCCATCCGAGGATGGGGAGCTTAACCCCGCCATGGAATCCGCAGACTCCATGGCGTTGGAGCCGCACACAGATCTCACCTCAGGTGACATCCGTGTCTCCAGAACCTCGGACTCGTTTCCAGCTATAGGTTCCGAACCATGTGTGTCCGCGCACGTAGAGTTGGATCGGTCATCAATCGCCGAATTCAGCGCCGCGGACATCTTCCGGCACTCGCCTTTAGGCGACATGCTCAACTCATTAAAAATCTATCCCTAGTGGGGGACTCCCAGCCGAATTATATCCGGTTTGAGCTGGAGGCTGATGATGAAGAATTTCGTTTCCCACCCACCGCCCACTTCATAGCCACTATTGAAGACCTAACCGACACGCTCGATTATGACTCCGAAGACATCGACGGTATGGACGACGATGCTGGAGAAGAGGAGGCCCAGACCACGTCGTTCATCGGACGATGGATGGCCACTTCCTCATATGACATGTACATGGTGGATACACCAAAAGATAATAGCGGCGATGACAAGGAAAACCCGGTGGAGGACGACCCCCCTAAGACACAACCAAAGCACCGTCGTCAGTGGCGCCACTCTAAATCGTGCCGCAGCAAAGACAGCAATACCGGCACAGGAGACGACAACAATCCGGACGGTGCCGAAGACATAGAAGACCCCGACGAACAAACTGCCGAACAGGACAATCGGGAAGATGGGCAAGTCAGCCCTGATGAACAGGACTTGAACGAAGACTCGGAGGACGGTAGCTATCATTCACTCTCCGAGGAGGAGGTGAGCCTCGACAATGAGGAATTTATCGTGCCTGAGGAACCCCTCGAACAGGAGAGCTTCAAGCGCCAGCTAATAGCCACTGCAAGGAGCCTGAAAAAGAAGCAGCAGCAGCTTCAAGCTGACCAAGATCTGCTCAACGACAGATGGACTGATGTCCTAGCTGCCGAAGAATACGACCTTAAGCGCCCAGCCAAAAGTTACCCAAAGCACAAATTGCTACCTCAGTTCGATGACGAGGCACCGGAGCCCGTACCATCATCGCACAATGCGGCTGACCGACCACCACGCGGTCAGGATAAAGCGGCAACTCAAGCCAAACACCAGCCCGCTCCACCTTACCGTAAAGGTAGAGATAAAACAGCTCTGAGACATACCTACGACCTGCGGCAAAAACTGGACAATAATGTAGGGCGCACTAGATCGATCCACGGATCGCGAGGACGTGCACTAACACATGACGACGGCTACCTATTCAGACGTAACAAGCCTAGTCACGCCCGGGCCGAACTCCGAGACGGACTCCATCGGAGCTACGTCGCGATGTGAAAAACAAAAACAAAAAGATTACCGAGGATGAATAAAGGACATGGTATTACCTAAAAGGAGATTTTTTTTGAAATAAAATTTAAAGCAAATCATGACAAAAATATGCATTCAAATTTCACGAAACTTGCACTGTTCCGTAATATGAAAAGCATGCATATATTAGTGTAGCTCTCTCCGTCGTGCCCTTGTTTTCGGTAAACGAAAACGAAAAATAAAAACACAAACAAAAAATAGAATAGTTTTTCTAAAGAGTGAATTAAGTGCATTGGTACTTCCATGAAAAAAATGAAAAAAATGAATTTAAAAGAAATAATGACAAAATACTCTCACAAAAAATGAATATAGCTTGTACTGTCCATAATATGCAAAAACAATAATATAATAATATAAATCGCACATATACTTCCATGTTGTACTCTGTGTTCAAACAACAAAATAATAATGTGTGAGATTAATCGTCTCTCGACCCATTAAAATTAGTTTACATCTCATGTCAATGGTGTCGCCTCTCCTATCTCTCTCTGATCAACACATGCACATGCATACACACACTAACAACCACACACGTGCTTACGCGCGCATGCACACACACACTTCTTAATACTCTCTCCGTCCCAAATTACTTGTCGCATAAATGGTTGTATGTAAAACTAAAAATACGTCTAGATACATTTGTTTCCGTGAAAAGTAATTCGGGGAGGAGGGAGTATTTCCTTGTTCCAAAATAATTGAAGTTCTACTATTGTCCTAAGTCAAACTTCGTAAAGTTTGACCAAGTATATATAGAAATATATTAACATCTATAAAACCAAATTGAGCTCATTAGATTCATTATGACATATATTTTGATATTATCTATATTTGATATCATAGATATTTGCTTATTATTCTAGGAACTTGGTCAAAAGTAGAAAAAATGACTTAGCTTCAATTATTTTAGAATGGAGGGAGTAATTAATTGATCAGACCAGGCCTTTGTGTGTGGACAGTGGGCTGCTCCAGCCAGCCAGTAGTAGTAGTAGTAACTTGTACGTGGGCTGTTACAGGCTAGATATAAGAAAAGGACAACTCACCTAGAAAAAAAAGGACAACTGGAACAAAACCGAGCCGGCTGCTGCTGCCTTGATAAAAAGGATTCGACTTACGGTAAAAAAAATTGATAAAAAAGATTCGACTGAAACAAAACTCTTTTTTAGGCACCTGACCATCAGCAAAACCAAAACCTTTTAGCCATCAGTCATGGCGTACAACCATATGCAGAATTGATCACTTTCTCTAGACAAGCACTCCAACATTAACTAAACTGCCCCTAATGCCTTTAGAACCCACACAAAGAATCCTCCAAGGAAAACACTACACTATCCTTGAAACATGATCCTCCCTTATTTCAGCAGTAGTCAGGAAGTGGATTGTGGCAAGTGATTCGATACCCCTTCTGATTTGCTTCTCCACCCAACACCTGTGCTTACTTGTCTCCGGGAACCTTATCGGATTTAGAGGTTCCACGCCTCGGCACTTGCTGCATGTCAGTCTATCATACAGGTACACATCCCCTAGATTCACCGCCGCTTTCAAGACACGCCTGACATGACTCACCATGTAGTCTTCAGGCTGAAAACAGAAGATGATTAGTTGGGTCAGACGGTGGTGCTTGAAATTCGATGTAGGTGATTCTCACTCAACACCCTTGTGCTCGCTGTACGACTTCGCCTTCCTCTTCTCCTGATCCATTTGCATGTCACAAGGATGATCCATTACCTACATTACCACCCGTAGGACAAAGGTAGATGGAACAGGTTAATTTTGCATACACGGGCAGACATTTGTGCTCCAAGTGAAAGCACAGGCATGCAAGCATGTAACGGAGATATAATAGAGAAACCCCTCAAACAGAAGAGAATAATAGAACAGGCTGTTGGTAAGAAGAACCTACAGTCGAGTAGTAGAGTCACCCCTCATCAGAAAAAAATAATAATAGAACAAGGTTTCAGTAAGAACATACCGTAATGTAGAACTCCTCCAGGGAAGGCGCCGCTTCCAGAATGAACATTGTCCAGGTGAGATCATACCCTTCAGGAATGTCAACAAGATTGACAATCCTTAGTTGGTGAAACACAGATGCCAGCCATCTGGTCAGACACTCTGGTTGAACCCAAATCTGCAACAATAAGCACATGATAGGATGAGTAGAGAACAAGTGAAGACAGAACAAAGCAATCACCCTGAGTTACCTTTTCGTATTTAAACCCCAACGTCAGGTCTCGAACAGAGGTCTCATGAAGAAATGTACTTAACTCGATCATTTCATGCCAACTAAGAGCAACATTTGAAACACTCAGGACATCGAGCAATGGGACATAGCCAAATGACAGTGGTGGTTCTTTGAAAGACATCCAACACTCAAACACCAACCAAGTGAGCTTCGGAACCCAGTCGAGTTTGACCACGTCAAAACGGCATTGTCAAATTTGACAATACTGAGCTCACTGAGTTCCGCGTGTTCAATTTGGAACGCTATCCAACTCTCTGTGTCGCAATTGAGAAAACCTAAATGTTTTAATCGCTTGCAAGTGACGAGGATGTTGGAGATGAAGTCCGATTCAATGAATCTCAAATTCGCCAGGTAGAGGCGCGTGAGACCAGCAAATGTATCCGTACACTCATTAAAAAATTACACGAACCATGCCCCATATTTCACCAAATCGTCAATGGTGCACTCTAGGCGTCCCTTCTCTGTCAGAACAGTGAATTCGGCCTTCTCAACCTTGCATGTTGCCATGGCATTGCCAACAGCATGCCCGACTGATATGGGGACATCGTCTATCAAGTAGAATGTCATGCTCAAGAGACGAATTGGCCATCCACCCGGATCCCTGCGTGCCAGTATGCTCTTTGTCACTTTGGCCACAGCTGTATCGGCCACAGCTTTGGCTATAGCTGCTGCATCGGCCAAGGCTTTGGTCACAGCTGCATCGGTCCTCTGAACCAATTCAGCATTGGACACTGCTGCATTGGCTAAATCTTTGGCCACAGCTGCAGTGGTCGTCCGAACCAATTCAGCATGGGAAATTCTGATTTGAGTTTCTAAGGGCAGGAGGTCCCGAGGATTGATTGTAAGCCGTGAGAGCATGGCAGGAAGCTGACTCCAGTCTCGAGAGGACACTGGTTCTCGCAGCGGCACGGACATCGAGTCGGTCGAGAATGTTGACCAGGATGCCATTGGGCAAGCTGCTGATCCTATCATCTGGATCGGCTTCCTGCATTTGGTACCCAAACAAATCAGAGTTGATATCACGGTACAGTCAAATATGCAATATTGATGATAAGTCTTAAAAGTGCAAGTTTAACCGTCTCAGAGATACAATTTGTCTACTGTCGCAAAGATACAGCTTTGATCTACTTAAAACGATGACACAAGTTTTATTTTATCTGTACCAAAAAAGGTAGATTTTGATGCTGTCTGAAAGACTGAAATTTGACCCTAGTTGCTAAGATAAAATAAGACATTGAGAGGAAGGGGAGGACAAGGAACACACCCCCCATGGTCGAACCGGATGGCTTGGCCATCAATCTGGCAGCCCGTCGCCGGCGACAAGTCCTCGGCATCGCCCGAGCTGCCGCCGCTCAGTCTGAAAACTGACTGTCTAGAGTTGTTGTGCGTCTCCTCCGAAGATTGGCGGGTGCCGCCAGGTTCTCGCCACCAATGGAAACTCGGAGACTGAATTCGAAAGAGTTGCTTCAATTGCCGGTTGCAACTCGGAAATGAGCAGCTTCGAAATGGAGCTGCCGCTGCCTCGATTGGGGAGTGCGGCTTATTTGGGTGCCGCTGCTCAAGCACGGCAGGCGGCGGCCCCTTTGCTCTCTGGCGAAACCCTAGGTGGGAGGGGCGGTGCCACTGCTCAAGCACGGCAGGCGGCGGCGCATAACAGATTCCCGATCCCCTTTGCTCTCTGGTCACCCCTAGTTAGTTTTTTTTTACAGCGTGTTTGGTAATATTTGGAAAGGGGAATGAGAGTTTTAGAGTAGGGAGTTGTATTGAGATTAGATATGGGATGAGTCGTTTTATTTCTAATCCTATGTATGGCGCATGATAGGAATTATGTGAGAGCATTCGAGAAGAAATTATATTTCCTTGTTTGGTCGTGAGAATTGACGGTGCCATAGATTAAAGTCTCGTACCCCTTCAATTTGCATTTCCTAATTCTAATTACCCCAACCAAACATGTTGTTAAGGATATGGTGAAACCCTAGGGTTTTTTTAAACATGGGGAAACTCTAGGTGAGGGGTGGCCTGCGATGGAGAGAAATGATGGCACGGATGGGCTAAGAGCAAACCTGGGCAGATGGGCCGGCATGACATGGCCCAGCCCAGCCTGGACTAAATGGGCCGACCCATGTACTAGGTGGGTTGTGTCGGGATACCGGCGCTGCAGGCACCCGTCGCTCCTGGCGCCTGCAGCGCCCCGCGCTGGGCCGGCCCATGAAAAGCTCGCAAAACAAAAAAAAAGAAAAATATATGCTCTCCTCAGGATACGACCTCACCACCGTGGTGACAAACAGGTGCCACCAGCCACATGAGCTACTTGCTATTGGTGACTAATAACAGTGGCAGGAGCTTAATAACAAGGCCGCAGTTCTATTTGATTGAACATAATCACTCATCTATGGTATCACTTAATTTTTTTAAATTATTTGGAAAAAAGATCGTGATTTCGAAAAAAGTTCTTCATTTTGGAAGAAAAAGTTCACAAGCCTGAAAAAATTTCATTGACTTTCAAAAAAAAGTTCATCGGTTTTGAAAATAAAGTTCATCAAATTTGAAAAATGTTCACAGATTTTAATAGTAAAAAATCAAATTTGATAAAGGTTCATCAATTTTGGAAAAACGTTCATCAAATTTTAAAAAGCTAATCAATTCTCAAAAATGTTCATAGAATTTAAGAAAGGTTCAAAAAAATTGACAAAAACTTCATCAAATTCTAAAAAAGTTCATAAATTTAACAAAGTTCACCGGATTTGAAAAAAGTTCATCAAATTTGAAAAAAAAATCATCGATTCTGAAAAAAGTTCACAAATCTAAAAAAGAGTTCATCAATTTTATTTTTTTGCAAAAATTAAGAAAAGTTCACGCATTTGCAAAAGAAAAAGAAAACAAAAAAATAAACCGAAAAAAGATAAGAAAAAAAAACGGTCGCGTTCTGGGAAAAGAATAGAAGGAGAAAAATGAGCAACTGGTCACATGTGGTGGATTGTTCCGAGTGGTTGGTGCCTTTTAGCAAAATGCCCTATAATAGGCGCCGGCAGCGCCAAATAGGGTTTGTGCTGGGCGAGACTCGTGCCATGCTCTCTGGCCCAGGCACGTCACACCAAGGTAACGGACCGGGCCATCGGCATGTTTAGCCCAACAGTCCGCCAGATTTTTGGCTATTTTTAGGCCTATTTCGGTTGTTTTCAAGGACTAATATATAAAAAACTTTGAAAAGGTGAACGGGTCGTGTCGTGCTAGCGAACGCGCCCAGGCAAGGCCCTTGGCGGGCCATATATCGGCAAGACCCGATCATAAATGTGCCAGGCCACGCATGCGGGCTATCGGGCTACCACGCCAGGACCGACCCATTTGGCCACCTTTGGTTAAGAGCATCTCAATAGGTGCTCCAAAATAGTGCATAACCGTTTTTTAGAGGACATGGTGCAGGCCAAGACGCTGGAAGCGTTGGCCTTCAGCGAAGCCTTTGCTCTCGACTCGTATCTCTATATCAGCAAGGTACATGCTGACGGTGCAAAAATCAGCAGATACCTGCATAGGCTTACTCATGGGGCGGAGCACGCATACAAGATTAGAATAGGAAACACACGGGAAGCGGATTTTACCCAGGATCAAGCCTTCGTGGGGAGGTAATACCCTACATCCAGCATGTCTTATTCTATTGATGTGTTTGTCTTGTGGAGTGATTGGATCAGTTGGAGATATTGGCCGCACACTTGGGAGGTCCCTACCTCTCCTTATATATGTGGATGAGGGATAGGGTTACATGTGACCAAGTTGGTTTACATTGCTTTACATTCAAGTTTTCTACTAGAGTGCATGTGAAATCTGTTTACATGGCCGAAAGTTGTTTCAATGTGTGAAATGTGTTCTTGAAATTATTGAAATCAGCTTTTGAAAATGAGTGAAATTAGTATTTTGAAATAAGTGAGATTTGTTTTATGAAAGAATTAAAATTAGTTTTTGAAATGAGCAAAATCAATTATTTTCAGATATTTGGAAGTGGTTCTTTGAAATAATTTAGTTTTTAAAATTATTAAAATATTTAAAAATATCTCTAGGTGAAATCAAATTAGAAAATAGGGATTAATATTAAGCTAATTAAATTTCCTAATTTAGATTGATTATTAAAATTAGCTGCTTTGGGATGGGGTAAAAAAAGGACAACACCCATTGCAATCACGGTCGTGGACTCCTTAGTAGGGATTGCACATGGTGGGCCCTGGCCCTGGGAAATACGAGCCATGCAAACATGAGAATACTTGGCATGTATATGCATGTGGTCCCATAACTTTTGAGGTGGCAGCATTTTATTGGTTTAGAATCCACCGGTTCCTCCCACCACCGGTAAAAAGAGGTTTGTGAGCCGCGCGGGCATTCAACCGCCGCACTGAACTTTCTCCTACACATCCCCAAGCGACCTTTGCACTGCCTATGCGCTGAACAAGCGAGTGAGGTTTGTTGAAGGTGTCTCTGGATTAACTTTGCTCTG